GTCCCCTTAGTCCTTCAGTCCCTTAGCCCCCTTAGTCCCCTTAGTCCCTTATTTCAATTTGAAATCAAGTGCTCTTTTTTCTGTTTAAATTCAGATTGAAATAAAATAACCCATCGTATGTCGATGTTGTGCTATATCATTTTCAATTAAATTTTTTTATGATTTAATTAATCTTATTCGATTTGACAATGGTTTATTTGTCAAGGAACATGTTGATAATCAACAATACAATAGATTATTTCTATTTTATGACCATGCTAAACAAATTATTTAACAAAACGACAGCTGAAGTACCATTGTACGGCGTGAATAATCGACCACTTATTGTAATGATCAAAGCTGCAGTTAGATCAGCCGGAGTATTACATGAATATTCGTCTAAAACTATCGATTTGTTATTCGATAATGCAACCGTAATAAAAACTGATAATGATTCAACAAACATTTCCAACAATTTATCAACAAAGCAGTCAGTTGTGAGAAAGACCATCTAATGATATACCCTCAACTAGTATTCTAATTAACCAATCGTTTGAAGATAGTTCAAAAGTCATAAAAGTTCTGTTTTAATACTCTACAGAAACTCTTTTCTTTTTTCTTTACTGTTAAGTATTTTCAAGATTTTTCCGTAGAATTGAAAACAAGCATTTACTTTTGTTAGATATTTTTTTTTTAGGAAAAAACAATTCTATTGACAATGACACAGTCGTTTAACTGATGCTGTTGATTATTTGATAAATACTGGTTTGATACAAAGAGGTGCTAGTCAATGTCGACATCTTGTTAGTGATCGAAAAGAAACTTTCTTGAAAACATCGCCATGCGTTATTCGTGCTGATAAAAATTCATTAGCTGCAGCTGAATCAATAAATATAAATGTTGATGAATACGAACCAAGGGGAAAACGTCAGACTCCATGATTCCATCTGACTCCACTCTTGTATGGAGTTCTTAGTATTATAAAAACATGATGCTTTTTATTTCCTCAATGGACTATTAGAAACAGAAAAAATATGATGCCAGTAAAAAACCCACGAGTTTCGCAGATACTACAGGAATAATTTAATAACTGTTTGCTCAAAAGCAATTTTCTTTATTAATATCAATGTCTGATGTATTTGCTTAAAAGTCAATTGTTAAATATAAAAAGAACGAAAAACATATGGATATAGAAATATAATATACATTCATTACTTAATAGATAAGATTAACCATGTAAGAAAACAGTAAGTGGATTACTAAGTTAAAAACATCAATTTGATGTAAAACCTAACTACTGTATATAAAAGAACATCTAAGAAGTAATTGAAGAAGTACAAGCAAGACAATGTTTCATGTCTAACTCTTATCTTCTTCTGGTTCTTTTTGCTAACTTTCTTGAGCAATAAGAAAAGTCCATTGTTTGACCTTTTCTTTTCATTTGTCTCTTAGTTTCTAATCATGATACAAAATATATATGTCGTGCCGAAGGTGCACTACTTGTCAAAGTTACAACTTCGATAGAAAATTTTGTCGAAGTTATTCTGCTACAGCTAATTAAATATCTTTTATCAAGAGGCGAGCATCATCGTGTTGAATTGCACATTGAAACTCTTGTTTTCAGCTAAACAATATCTATAACAATAGTCTTATATATACAACAATTCTACAATGAAATCATTTTGTCTATTTTGTCATGCTACTGCTTGTTGTTGGAGTTGGCATTGCTGTAGAAAATGTAGTTCCATATAAGTTTTTTGTTGTCATTGATGAAATCACTTCGGGTCTCGCATTGCTAAGTTTTTATCTTTGTAGAACTACAGGTGATTGTATGTATGTATGTAGCACTCATCTTGCAAATTTATACTTGTGATGATATGTGCGCTTCACTGCGACGTAGAAATATTTGAGTATACTATATTGTTCGTCTATTTACACATATCTTTTACATCTATCGAAGTTATCCATGATCAATAATTTTCTTATTTTAATTATATTTGACTTTCATTGCGCATTTTATAATTAGCTTTACTGCTTAAGCTTAATTACAATCGAATATAATTAGCAATAAAACTCGAGAATGATGAGAACATCGACTCCCATCTATAATTCTTTATTTCGAATTGATATGTGAAAAGCTCGACACTACTTCACAGATGAGCCGATTTCTGGTAACAGTCTAAAGTGTCCCTCGAAAAATGTCCTTCCAAAAATGTCCGTGATAAGTTTTGTCCTTCGAAAAAACATCTTTCATTCTTAAAATGTCCATTTTAAAGTAAGGGAACATTTTGCAAGGACATTTCAACGGAGGACATTTTCTTCAAGGACGAAATATCGGGGATATTTTTGAAAGGGCATATTTTTCAGGGACATTTTAGATTGTATTCAAACATTTTTAGCACTCCAAATAAGTAGGAAACTCAAAGAGGTTAATAAACAAAATGGTTTATTTCTAAATGATTTGTAAATTTTTCAAAATGAGTGTTTTTAAACATAGTTATGAATATTGTTTAGCTGAAAAGAAGAGTTTCTATGTATTATTCAAGATGATAATTTTAACACTCCCATCTGAGCTTATCTATTATTCCTTGTTTCTCCTCACTTTGATACGTCATCATTAATTTGTATTTCGTGTCCTTGAAATATTATAACATCGTTCCGCTAGCTGTGTACATAAGCATGTGCTTTTGTATGCAAGCAAGGAGATTCATGATAAGAAGAAACCAAATGAAGTGTAATACCATCAGCACCAGGTCTTCTATCAAAAAATCGCTACAAAGATGTTCACCTCTCTATGAAAGTTGTTCAGTTACATGTTGCAAATGGTTTCGACAAAAATTTATTATTGAAGTCTAACTTCAACAAAATTTACTGTCGAACTTATAACTTCGAGACGGCATATACATAAACACACTGCTTCTGGATTACTAACCGAATAAAAAAATGAAATTTCGAACAATCGATTACTTTGAGTACAGTAGACTAATGAAAAAAATTGATTCTTTTTTTCGTTACATAACACTTTCTAGAGCTTTTTACGAATAAACAACATTTTGCTAGATTCCAAATTTTGGAATTAATGAGTGTGCTAAATACGAATAAGAGAAAGATGGTGTATGTTTGTCTTTAAATCGAGACTAACAAATATTTCCTCTGATCGTACACATGATAGAAAGAAATTAAAACATCGCAGTATCAAATTTCTACGATGAGGTTCTGAAGATCGGCAAGAATTGAATGAGATTCCAAGTGACTCCATCTGATTCCATGTGACTCTACTTGACTTCAAGGGATTAAAGTCTGCCGTTTTCCCCTTGGGTAAATTTCGATATGCGACTCATCGATTTCGAATGGAGTTTCAGGAGACAATGCTATCAATGGAAATTTTCAAACGGTGCAATTTTCATAATATCATTGTTCCTAAAATGAATCTAGTTCCAATTTCAATGGAATACGGGGTCACTAAATTCGACTACAATGATGACGTTGATAGTGATGAACCTAAGGGTTGGTGAATGTGGATATGTTATTTTTCCTAAGATCAATACTTAAACGCCTCTTAGCTATTAATAATTTCGGTATGTAATATTCAAGTTTGTATTGAATGCATGAATTTTTGTTAGTTTGGAGTCAGGTTAAGCAGATAGTATTTTAAAAAATAAAACAGAGAATAGTTAGATAAAGTATTGTTTCTTTTTAAATATGTCCTTGTTTCGTAAATGATGAGCTAGTTTGCTTCTTAATGCGAACGCTTATCAGA